CGATTCGGGACTTGATCCTTGGGTCATGCGTGTGGTGAGCAGCGCCGCTTGTCACTGCACAATTTCAGCACTTTTTCATTCACAATAATGAAACAATTTATGGAATATCGATTACTTATAAGGCACATGAAAGTCGGTAGATACTGTAATATTTTTCGAATTCATGGGCACAATATTAATTTATAGAATTTCTTAGAGTCTCTCAGAGAACTGTCTCTGATTCTCAGAGAATCCATTAGGAGATCGCTAAGATCACAGCCTCGCGACGACTTCTTTGCCAAGGCCTTTCCTCACGAGAATCGGCTTCTCATGGACGAAATTATCAAATCCATATTTGCCATTCAGTCGACCCATACCGCTGTTACCGACACCACCGACTGGGAGAGTGCTCACTAAAATGTAAGTAGTTTTTTTTTCCAAAAGCCTGAATACAGCAGGTTTGAACGCTTACCGAAGGCATGGCTCATCACATCATTAACCTGTCACACCACCGCTGGACGTCTCCAGAAGGAAGCGTTTCACCTGAAAACTGGTGCATTTTTTCACGAACCTTATGGCAAAGCTATAATCAAGTTGTATCTACCTTGTCGGGGTTTTCCGTGAACAGATAGGCGCCGAGGGGTTTCTCGTTGTCCCTGACCCATTCAATTGCTTCATCGAACGATTTCACCGTCACGATTGGTAGAAGAGGTCCAAATATCTGAAAATCTCTCTTAATTGGCTGTAAAAAATCCAAATTTAAAAGGACAGGGACCTCTTCCTGCATGAGAGCGTCGTCCTTCTCAATTTCGATAACATGTGGAGGAAGGAAGCACTCAGCTCTGCAGGGTTCTTCCTTGGGCTTGTAGACGATTTTGCCTTTGGTGTTTTTGAGCAATGTTGAGAGTCGACTGAAAACGGCACTTATTTATGAGCATTCATTTGGAATTATCTATCTATCATTTGGAATTATCTATCTAAGCGAAAAAAACATGCAAGGCCAGGGGTACCCTCGTAGGGCTATTAAAGGCAAGATTCAAGCTTAAACTGATGAGGTAATTCTACTCAAATGTGATGTGGGAGTGGGAGGTGGACCGCCAGTGAAGAAAAAGGAAAAAAAACGTGAAATACACAGGAAATACGACC